TAAGAGGCTTTTGGGCAGGTTGTATGTCAAAGATGTTCTATTCCCGAAATTAAGGTGGTAGACAACATTTATAAAACCCACCTACTGCATTATGAACACGCAGTTTTCTATGCGAGTAACAACAAGTCAAATGGTGTTGCCAAAACTATTGACAATATGTTTCATGTTGTGAAAGATAGAACCCAAGATCAAGCTAATGATATTAATCATATAAAAATGAATCGTATGTATTATGGATCCGTTTATTAAAGGCTCATCACCCATATTTATGATTATGTTGCCGGCATGGGTTAGGAAGGCCTTTTGATCCTGGAATTAGGACCATCAAATAAACCAACTCCCATAAAGTAATATGTTATCAATTCGAGATAAAATGTTGTACTATAAGTATTGAGGTTCAATGGCACTTCATTGGCCATTGCAACACCTTACTTTCGTATATTGATTTTGTTAAGAGTGGGCTTATGATGTTTTTTGACCTTACGATCAAGGGGGAGAATGTTGGAATTTTGATCTCAGGTCATAACTGACCGAGAGAAAAAGGGGGACCCTTTTTACCCCATGTATGTGCCATGATCGGAGGCACCAAATCCAGCTGTTGGTTTCGGTCCCTGATCCCTTTAGCGCCACCTATATAATGAGCAGGATGTAGCCCTTCAAAATAGAAAAACACACACATGTCCGGGTCATACAACTTGCTAACAACCGATCCTTAAAAGAAGGCGCTCAAGGTGATCAGAAGACCGACTACCACCGCCGGCCACCGCAAGGTCAGTGCCGACGGCCAGTCCTACTGCGGCGCTTCTGCTGCTTGCTTTGAGGTCCTGTTCCACTACTAGGGAAAAGCCTAGCAGCAGCACGGGTTTTGGCCCTCTCAGTAGCGCGGGTACCGGCGCTACTAATAAGGCGCTACATCTAATGTATAGCAGTAGCGCGTGTTGACCCACGCTACTGCTACACATGAATAGCTGCAGCGCTCTTTAGGATAGGACGCTATTGATATTATCTGCAGCGCCGTTTACAGGGAAGCGCTACTGGTAAGTCGGCGCTACTGCTAAATCCCCCCTCGCTACTACTAGTTTTATTAGTTCTTTTCCCTGCATATTTGTTTTTTATTTATTTTGCATTTGAATAGGCTTTATACAATAATCTTTAGCATATCATCCACATACAAATATAATCATAGCATATACATACAATTAGTCTCATCAAATCATGTCATCATCATAATCATCATCCAACACAAAGTGGTCTCTCGTCATCAATCTCGAAAATAGCAATACAAGTCTCGATTACTTGCAAATACATCGTCATCCATCTAAACAATGATATACACGAGAATAGCTATCACTTTGAGTACATGAGTTCGTATCCCTCTCTCGCATTAGCGTGAACCTAAACTAAGTACTGCGTGTCGCTCGGAAACCGAAAACCGGTACACCTGGGCCTGACACTCCGGCCACTTGTCGTATATATACTCCTGGCGTAGCACTTCTTCGCCATTTATGATCTATGCACCTGCGCGGTCGGCCGCAGCGGGAGCAGCAGACGGCGCGGAGTCCGGAGAGGATCGGCCTGACAGATCTCCAGGCGGCGATCCCGAGGCAGATTCGGCTGCTAGGTCTGCGGGAACAAATCCCGAGGGAGATTTGCTCCCCTGATCCTGGCACATGAAATATGGCCGTGTTGGGCAGATTTCTTCACTATTTTCAGCTCCGTTTTTTTCAGCATCGCTTCCTGCATCATTATACAACTCAGGCAAAGTGGTGAGAGAGTTAGTCATAGTAGGATCATTAGAGCTATACTCCCCTGGATTGAGGCCGGTGAGGGTAGGAGGAGGAAGTAGAATTTCTTTCCGAAGTAAAGCACCGACATTTGGATGTAGATCAGCAAAGGGGAATTTTGTTTCGTCGAATACAACATCACAAGATATGTATACTCGGTCGGTAGACACGTCTAGACACTTGACCCCCTTGTGTTGATTGCTATATCCAAGAAAAACATATTGTTTGGACCGAAACATTAATTTGCGAGAGTTGTATGGTCGGAGATTGGGCCAACAGGCGCATCCAAACACACGAAGTGATGTATAGTTGGGTTTGATCTGGAGAAGCCGTTCGGTAGGTGTTTCATTATTGATCACTCGACTAGGAAGCGTGTTGATGATGTGAACAGCCGTGAGGAAAGCTTCGTCCCAAAATTTTAGGGGCATGGAAGCACCGGCAAGGAGGGCCAAACCGACCTCTACTATGTGCCTATGCTTGCGCTCGGCAGAGCCGTTTTGTTGGTGAGCGTGAGGACATGATACATGGTGAGATATGCCAAGGGTTTGAAAGAAGGAATTAAGCTTCTCGTATTCCCCCCCCCCCCAGTCGGATTGGACAGCAACGATTTTGCTATCAAACTTACGTTCTACAAGTGCTTGAAAAATTTTGAACACTTGAAAAACGTCAGATCTTTTCTTGAGGAGATAAATCCAAGAAAATTTGCTATAGTCACGAATGAAGCTAACATAATATGTGTGTCTACCCACTAAGGCGGGGGCAGGCCCCCAAACATCAGAGAAAATTAATTGCAAAGGTTGAGTAGAAACACTGGTAGATATGGGATAAGGTAATTGATGACATTTTGCTCTTTGGCAAGAATCACAGATAGTTTCACTATGTCGCTCACCAACAAACGGGAGCTTATTTTTCCTAAGCAAGCGTTCAACTAAAGAAAAAGATGCATGCCCTAAACGATCGTGCCATCGTGTGGAGGAAAGCTTGATAGCACCACAAGCTTGTTTATTTAATCTTCTAAACTCCGGAATCAACGGGTAAAGCCCTCGAACACATCTACCGCGGTAGAGTACCTTCCTCGTGGCCTGATCCTTGATCAAAAAGAAGAAAGGATGAAATTCAATGAACACATGATTATCAATAGTGATACGATGAACGGAGAGAAGATTTTTGTTGGCACTAGGAACATGCAGGATTTTTCTAAGGTGAATTTTGCGGGAAGGGGTGCGTATAACAGAATGACCTATATGACTTATCCTCATACCTGCACCACTTGCCGTGTGTATCTGATCCTTCCCATGGTATTTCTCACGGAGGGTTACCTTCTCGAGTTCGCCCGTGAGGTGGTTTGTGGCACCACTGTCGAGATACCAGTTGGTATCCACACCATAGGACCCGTCGGCGGCGGCAGCAACTTTGTCTTCTTCATCCGAGGAAGCTTCATCTTCATCAAAGCGATACCAGCAATCCTTGGCTGAGTGGCCAAGCTTGCCGCAGATTTGACAGCGTACAGCATCGGGTCGTGACCGTCCCGAGCCGCCACTGCCGCCGCCGCCCCCACCACGGCGACCCTTGTTGTTGTTGAAGTTAGGGCGTCCGCCACGGGAGCCGGAGGTGCTGGAGCCACCACCACCTTGCTTGCCCTTGTGTCGAGGAGGACCACGGGAACGGGATGAGTACTCGCCACGCCCGCGGGTGGCCGTGTTTGCCGAAGACTTGAAGCCGCCGCCGGTGCTATGGAACTGCGCGACGCGCTGATCAAAATTGCTCAGCATGGCGTACAGCTCATCGAGGGAGACCGGCGTGACACGGGCGTCGAGAGCAGAGACAAGGGGATGGTAGTCCATGTCCAGCCCGTGCAGCAGATAGGAGATCAGCTCATCATCTTGGATGGGCTTGCCGGCCGCGGTGAGTTCATCGGCCAGTCCGCGCATAGAAGCATAGTACGCAGCAACAGATTGGTTGCCCTTCTGTGCATTGATCAAAGCAGTGTGAATGTTGTTAACACGACTCAGAGATTGAGAGGAAAACATGCCTGCGAGCGCCGCCCAGAGAGCGTGCGCGATGGTGATCGCGGTCACCGTGATCAGCACTTCCTTGGAGAGGTTGCTGAGGAGGTAGCCGAGCACTTGTTGGTCCTCCCTCACCCAAATGGGATGGAGAGGGTTCAGCTTGGTCGTCTCCTTGCCTTCCTTGTCCTTGGTGACGAGGAGGCGGGCGGGCTCCGGCATGGTTCCATCGACATACCCGAAGAGCCCGGCTCCCCTTAGGTGCGGCGTAACTTGCGTTCGCCACAGGACGTAGTTCGTCCGGGAGAGCTTCTCCGTGACTTGGCCGCTGAGATTGGATTGAGCGGCGCTGGAGGAAGACATGGCTTGGCACTAGATGGCAGCTAGGGTTTTGGAAGAGGAGGCTCTGATTACCATGTGCGAATAGGCGAAAGCGTCTTACCCTCGGTGTGAGGGGGCGCGTTGCATGTTATAGGCGCAGGGGCGCACCTCCCTGACAAGATAGCGCATACAAGTTTGTTGGAGAAGATTACAACTTGGAGAGGAAGAGATAGAGAGATAAGAGGTTTACAAGATATTAAACTACTTGTCTAACAACCTAGTCTATCTCCTAGACAACTCCTTATGCGCCAAGTCTTGGACTCCAACGTGACATCAACATGTGTTTGACAGATCGGTCGTTCGCTGTCAATTAATTGTCGATGGATGCCTTCGTACCAATTGCATTTTTGTTCGTCTACTTCTTATTTGTTCCGAGATTTGCGAGATTTTCCTCCCGTCCAACGAAATTATGACAAGATGACTAGTACATGAGAATGGAAATACCAGTCCAGAAATGTGCAAATAAAGAATATGTCATTGTCAAATCAGCAGTGCATATATGACAAAACGAATACTTGGGCGAGGGCCAAGAAGACAAGACACCCAACGCCAACTTACAGATTCCTTATTACAGAGCGGAAAGATGCTTTCCTCACCTGGTTTCTCATGCCTCCAGCAGCACACATACTTAAACAGATCACTTGTACTTGTACATGTCAAAGCACCAGGAGATACAAACAACTTGCTCACTGCAATTCTTCTACAAACCAAGGAAGGAAAATATCACACTCACACACACAAACCCCTTTACTTCAGCAACAAAGCGATGTGCTTTCTCATTCAGAGCCAGCGGCCCGGAAGCGGGAGATGCAGCTGTATACTTTCTTGGTCACCTTGGCTTGCATGTTGTCCACATACTGGTAAAATGCACACCTCCAGGTCTCGCTGCGAAACATGAAGATGCCCCAGTAGAGCCAGAACCCGAAGATGAACCCAGCAGCCACGAAGCAATACAACCACAATGCCTCTCTATCTTCATCCAGGCTTTTTCAGTTTGCGCCGGTGTTGAGGAGTTTATGCAGTCTTCCAACGGAAATCCGCATAGCCCAGGATTATTACTGTATATGGACCGATTTGTGAGTGTCCGTAGCTGATCGCCTGTAGGTATCCTCCCTGACAAACTATTGCTCGAGAAGTTCAGCACGCTGATGCTCTTTAAAGTTGCCAGGCTTTGAGGAATTTTCCCCGAGAGTTGGTTCCGAGAAAGGTCCAAGGCTTCTAGCAGTACCATATCGCCAATGTCTTCCGGAATACAACCTGACAGATGATTTCCTGATAAGTTCAGGTACCTGAGTCCAACAAGGGTTGTGAGCCCATTTGGGATCTCCTGTGATAGAGAGTTTCCAGATAAGTCGATACCGGCCATGCCTGCTATCAACAGAGAGTAATCATGCTCGACATTCTTCCAGACTATTGGAATTCGCGATGCATACAGATCATAGCCAGTATTTATATAGTCCTCAACATATTTACGGACATGTGTCATGCCAGTATAATTCGTAAAATCATCTGGAACAGGTCCAGTGAGCTTGTTTCTGGACAAGTCCAATATCTGGAGATTGTTAAAGTGTGAAATCTGGAGGGGTATGACACCTTCAAACATGTTTGATGACAGACGAAGAAATTTGAGTCCAGGTAAGCTGCTGCTTATCCAAGATGGTATTGTACCTGAGAAATTATTGCCTCCAAGGTCTAGAGTGATCAGGTTTTTACATTTCTCAAGATCCAAAGGAAAGGTTCCTATGAAATGGTTATTGGCTAGGTGTAGATAGCGAAGATTATCTCCACATGTCCCTGATGACGGAACTACACCACTCAAAGAGTTGCTGCTCAGATCTATGAATGTCAAACTTGGCATGCCCCAAAAACACTTGGAGAGACCTCCATGCAAGGCATTGTCTGATAGGTCTACGATTCTGAAATTAGTATAGTTACAGAAGAATACCTCGCCCCGGTCTGTCAGAAGGGTGCCATACAACTGGTTTTGACTGAAAGCCATATAGTGAAGCTGTCCTAGATGCTCGCCCATGCAACCCCTTAGGTCTGCAACAATGTTGTTTGCCGTGAAATCAATAAACCGCAGGGTTGTGCAGTTTCGGAAGGCTTGGTGGTGGATGCCAGAAAATCCGTTGTACCTAGCACTGAGAGTACGCAGCGCTCCTCTTGCGCAAATGGACGCCGGGAACAGCCCAGAAAAGTTGTTATCTGAAATGTCGACCCTATGCAGAAGGCTGCTATTCCCAAGTCCGGGGACGATGTGGCCGCTGAGCAGATTTCCAAACAGAAACAACTCCTTGAGTTTCCTCAAATGAGAGATGGTGCCTGGTAGCTGCCCATCCAAATAGTTACCCTCAGATCCCATGGACTGCAGTTCTGTCATGTTTCCAATCTCCAACGGGATGCTCCCTGTCAGATTGTTCCTCGTCAGGCTAAGCATTCGGAGCTTCTTGAGCATCCCAATTGTCCGTGGGATTGATCCAGTCAAGAAAGAGCTCTTCCAAGCTCGTCAAGTTACCAATCTCTTCAGGTAGTGTGCCATCAAGCCCCAAATATGTCAGTTGCAGTACAACAAGGTGCTTCAGTTGGCCAATGCTGCGTGGAATGGCACCCGTCGAAAAATGGTTGTAGAGGATCCGCAACTCGACCAAGCTTGTTAGATTGCCAATCCCTTCTGGAATTGAACCGTACAGACCATTCCTAGACAAGATGAGTTTCTTCAGGTGGGGAAAGGCCGAGAAGTCCAATTTGTCAAGTGTGCCACTCAAGCTTACACCGGAAAGGTCGAGCTCTCTGATGTGCCCGGCCGAGTCGCAAGTGATGTGCGTCCAATTGCAAAGGATGGTGGAGTTGGCCAACGACCATGGCCCGAGGGACTCATCGGCATCATCCAAGCTAGCCTTCCAATTCACAAGTGCTTCAGCTTGATGCCGGATGTGGGCTACCACCGGCGTGATGACACATAGTAGGAAACAAGAGCAAGAGAGAAGCAGGCCTACAGGATGGAGATGCTTCATGGTGGCTTTGGAGTCCGGATGGGTGGTGGTTCATGGCTACAGGGACTCGGGGAGTATTAATCCTCCGGATGAGCCGGCCGGCCGGCCCTCCACTACAGTGGTGGTCTGGTGGTTTACAAATGGCACACTCTCAGTAGATGACGTAATGTCAGTTTAGACTAAGGAGAAGCTACATGATACTAGTAGTTTATTGTGGAGGGCTGTCCATAATAAGAATTAAGAAATTGCAAATGGTATTGTCTATTTATTTTTTATTTTTGCGGGGTAGGTATTGTCCATGATTGTGGCATTATCAGGGTGACACTTGGAAGCCATGGCACACAGATGCTTAACTTGGAATGACTGTCCAACCCGCAGATCAATCAGAAACAGAGGAGGATATTCAGAAACGGAGATGTAATCTGAACATGGAGACTTCTACTCGCTGTTTTGAGACATATATACAAATATTAGCTGCAGAAAAGTTCCGTCTCACTTTTATTCCTCCTGTATTTTCTTCCTGTGTATCTTCTCTCACGCCACGGCAATTCTCTCACAGTGTTTTCAGATGCTACCTTCACCGGTCTTTCTCCCGGTCGGACTAGTATGAATGCTGATAACAACACACGGCCTGCATAAGTGCATATGCATATGTAAAACATGAAACAACTTTTTTTTCACCGAATCGGGAAGCTGAATCCAACCCCCGATGCCCATGCCCAACTACAGATATGTGTATAGGCAGTATTCAGTTTTATCTCTGAGTCTAGTGTTTTGCTCAACCTATCACAACTCCATCGAAAAGCCTCTTTTTATTCAAGATGTTAGCTTAGCATCTCCCTCTAGCTTAGTCTCCGTTGGGTGGGCCGTTGGTCAAGTCCAAGATGTGGACATCTCCCCCTAGCTTAGTCTTCAGTTTTTACTGTGTGAAGGGCAATCTTTGACTGAATTTGCTGAGGAGTTTGGCCAAGTGTTGGCGAAGACTGACATATGCCTCTGCTTCATGTTTCAGTTATGTAATACTGTATTTGGTTATTGTTATCGTTGTTTCACTGAATTTGAAATACGATGTAGACGCCTTCTTAGGCCCACTTAATAAAATGAGACCACAGTAGTTACACCCTAAGGCCATGCTCTTGGTTCCTCCAGCGAGCCTCGCTTCGCCTCGTCTTGCCATGCGAGGAGTTGCAGCAAGAAACGCGTTTGGATCGCTGGCTTGAGTGTCTTGGGCTTGTGCTGGCAAGGTTTGCTAGTTTTTTTCTCCTTGCTATCACAGGAGAACCAAACTTCCTGTATTTCTTCCTCTGTGTATCTTTTTCTCTCAGGCCACTGCAACTCACCGGAGGCAACGGGTATGTGGGCACTACAATCACAGAACACCAGAGGTTCTCCAACATAACGCTTTGGTTGATTAGATTGATGAGCAGCCAGCAAATTTGGCATATTACACTTCAGATTTTTTGTAGCCGGATTCATAAAATCCTCTGCTTAATATTGATCCGTGCGTTGGGGCTAAAAATGATAACATTCATATATTTCTAGAAACTCCAGAAAATGGCTGCGCAAGAAGTGCTCGAAACAGCATGTCTAGTGTTACTAACCAAAAAACAAACTACAGATTCAAAATTATGACCAACTGATTTCAGAGAACTCATTCACTTTACTCCAAATAGCCTTTAGCTACCAAACAATCAAATTACAACTTCTACAACCGACCGTCCAACTAACAAAGGAGGGGATACACCATTACTTCAACAACAAGCGACGCACTTCATCATTCTGGCCCTTTAAACTGGAAGCATGAAATGCAGCAGTGTATCTTCTTCAGCACCTTCTGATCTGCAGCAAATGTAGAGAGGACGATCTCATTTCTTTATCTTTTAAATATTTGTAAAAGGACTCATGCATAACGATTCAATTACTTCTTTTATCATAAAAATATACAAGATATAGCAAACAATAATATAAATACATTTGTCACAAGAGAGAAAGCAACTATATGCAATTACAGTAGAAGCATGAAGATAAAAGTTCTATCTGCAACAAAAAAAAGCATGTTCCAGTAAATGCAATCATACTTTTTTTCCAGAATGAAAAACAATACTGGCATACAAATCATCAGCAGCGCTGCGAGATGTAATTTTTGTTTAATATATTACACCAAAATCAGTGCTTCAAAGAAAGAATAGTAAGTTACTTGAGTCTGGTGGCATCATGCAATACTGAGCTGGAAAATTGCATGGGGTTAGAGTTACCTGTGCATTGACCTTTTGGTTGCCAGCACTTTTGCTTCTGAACAAGTTTATGTGCACTGGTATTAACAAGTAAGCCATATCAGAATACACATATGACAAAAACAAACATAAGGTATCGAAGCTTTTAATTTTAAATAGGGTTTCCTTACATTTTGTCCCAAAAACACCTGCAGAGTAAATAACATAAAAAAACACATAGATGTTGCTTTGCAGGATAAATACTTAGTTGGCATTTTACAAAACATAAGAAAAAATTAAGATCTTGCATTCGAGGATTTCAAGATTTTAAACCTCAGCCTGCATTTTGATTCCATCAAGAAAACTTTAGTGTTGGTATTTTGTTCCTCGAAGAATTTTGCGGGGGAAAAATATTACGAACTACTCCCTTAGTTCAGAATTATAAGATGTACTTCGGATGTATATAGACGCATTCTAGTGTCCTTGTTTACTCATTTCAGTCCGTATGTAGTCCATATTGAAATATCCTAAACATCTTGTAATTGTTAAGGTAGGAAGCAACTTGTATGTCTATGAAACTGTACCCACACATACTGAGTTAACAAATAACTTCACATACTTATAAATCAGCAAGATAACTACTTGTACGCACAGTCACACATGACAGATTCCATTAGAATAAATTGCAAGGACAAACGGAACTCCTGGAATGAATAGAGGTGTGCTAGCAAGAGGAAGTTAAGAAATACCTTCTGCACGTCATTGCTTTCATTCACAGACGTCTGCACAGCATCTTGATTTTTAAGGTATGTTCGTAGGCGATGTTCCATTGTAAGCTGTGAAGCAAGTTTAAATAAGTAAATCATCGTTTTACTAAAGAGAAGCTTTATTTTGGCCACAAAACGGCAAAAGAAAAGGAAAGCAAAGGTCATAATGTCTGCTATAACTTGTATCGGGATTTTATAGCTGATCACATGGTGCTTTTTTACTACCAAGATGTCGTTAACATAGCAAAAAGTATTGCAATAAAAATTAGTACTTCCAAATAACAAAATCACATAAGCGGGTGATAGCGACAGGATTTATAGAAACAGCCTTCATCAGGTAGTGATCAGATCGCGGAACCTTCAGAGACCCACCAATTCTTGCTATCAAAGGCTTGCCAAAAGACTGGCATTCTGTCACGCGTACATCATCTTCATAGACATACTCATTGAATGGATACTCCTGTTCTGTTGTTAAGCCATTCTGCTCAATATATTGAAATGCGAAGCTGAACTGACCCCCTTTGCAGCCTTCCCGATGGTATTCACAGTCCAGCACTTGTTGCACAGAGAATTGCAGTAGTTCTTTTTTTTTTTAGAACGAAGGCTTGCGAGGAGCCCGGCTTTGAATTAACAAAGCCATCAACCGGCCAGGAGTTACAGCAAACAACCAAATTACAGCGGTCAGAAGGATACAATGGGAACACTGGACTGAAACGCTAACTACAACCTCCACAAGCAGCTAATGCAAAGGAAATTAAGATTACAGCTTGCAAAGGCCGAGCACTCCACACTAGGATCATATGAGGAAAAGCAGAGCAGCAAAGCAGGGCATATCCGACCTTCAAAGATGGCCATGCTCCAGGAACACCTAGAGAAGAAGGGGAACAACATCTTCCATCTCAATCACCGAAGAGGGACCCTACCCCCTCTCCATGGCTCGTAGGCGCCGCACCGTCGGGGTTTCGAGGAGCTCACCCTAGAGCTCGAAGAATGCCGCCCTCACATCGGAAGGTGGACATAGTGCGGCCACTTCAATTTGGGATATCCCTAGCCGGCCGCTCCGCCACGGTCCATGCCCAGCTAGGTGGAAATACGCTTCGTGGAATCGGACGATGAAGAGGAGGCAGAAGAGGAGGCAGCTCCGTCCCTCACCTGCAGCGCCTCCCGACCGCATCCCGCCTCCCTAACGGCGCCTCCAGCAAGGTCACGGCGCGCAAGGCGCCGCCGCCGCCAAATCCGAGAGGATATAAGGTTTTCACCCGGGCAGGGTGGGTCGGGGTGGAAGCAGGGGTCCTCGGCTGCGCCCCCATGGAGGAAAGCAGCGCCCTTGGGCGTTGCCGCCGCCGGACCGGCCGGACCGGCCAAGGTTTCCCCCGGTCCCCTAGCTGTCCACCAACTCGCACCAACGCCAGGGCCAGAGAGCAAATCACAAGCCACCGCCGACGGCGAGAGAGAGGTAGCCGGGAAGGGATTTCGAACCTC